TTTGTGTTATAATTTGTTGTCATTCTAGAACAAAAGAGGCATAACTTATATTAATTTCCTAATTTTTTTATGGTTGTTACAAGATCAGTCAAATCTACACAACCAAATTGTATTAGATCTGTTGGTAAAAATAACAGGTAAAATACAATTTTTTTTCTTAAGAAATGCTTGATACCTGTCTGGACATTATAAAAGTTTTGCATGTGAAATTTAAAAATTTCTGATGCATAAAAGTATTTTTAATCTTAAAATGAAAATTACTTTGCATGTTGAATAGGCAAAAAGAAGAAGAAAAAAAAGCATGAGAAAAGCATTGCTTAACAAACCTTACTATATTTTGTGTATGAAAGCATTATACTGTTTACTGATAATCTGCCAAATTTTGTTAACATATGCTTACTAATTTAGAAGTTACAGCATGAAAACTATAACAAGCACAAAATGGTTACAAGGTTGGTCCCAGGGACCGAGCCTTTACTGAAAGAGTTAACATGCATACAGCAATGTGTCATCTAACCTATAGTGCCAACTGTCTAACACTGAAATGCCAAGTTATACATTAAGATCGTATATTGTTAAACAATTAGAAACATCTGTTGCAGACATTCTTTCAGAAAATTAAGTATTGTTTTACATGTTCTTAGGTAATTTTATGACAATGTTGGAGCCTTAAATGTTGTATTTATAACTACTCAGTTACTCAAATGCATTGTAATCAACCAAGGGAATAATAACATTCTATTTATTATGCAAATGCATACTTAGCCAGAGTAAAAACTTTGTATTTTGAATATTCTTCATGTAGCCTGAATTTAAAGTCAAACAACTTTAAAATTTAGAATAATTTATTTTGCAAAATAAAATTTCTGATAATTATAACTATCTTATAAACTTTAAAAACCATTAATGGAAGAAAATTAGAGAAATTGTTTGTTTATGGCAAAGCAACTAATGCTACTTGCCACTGTCCCTCATTTTGAATTATACCACATGAAAGGAAACCTGCTGATAGCATCCACCGCCGACTTGTAAGGTTAACATTTACCTTACCTGAAAATGTATTTCTGATACATACTCACCTCTCACACAGTTTAACTACCTTCCTTCCATATCTGTCAGAAATTAATTGCATGTCACTAGCCTTGAGGCAACTACCACCTAATTTTATTGGAATTGCACTACTGCATGATGATGTCATTATGTGACGAAAGCCATCCACCAATAGGAGGGCAACGCATTTCCATACACAATAAACCTCTCCAATGCACTTGAACTCAAGAAACTTCATTCTTTGACAAGGCAAGTAAAAAAAAAAGGTGCAACAGAAGTGAGGAGTATGGGTAGAAATGTGTGAAGAGGTAAGAAAAATGTTAACATGAATATCCGAGTATTTTCACACAAGCGGTCAGACAGCCAATATGTATAGTTTGGTTGGGATGCATTCAGACTGTACCTTGGGTGCTCACCTCAACTCTATGGGCTTACTGCAGCTGCAGGAGGAGGGTATTATATTTATGTAATATTAGTTCATATATATATAATATGTGCATACCTCAACTCTACTGAACAGACTCATGCTGTTGGAGGAAGACACAAGTGGCATGCTTGATGTATATGAGGGCTGACTTGCACTAAATTGACAATGTCAACACCAACCCACTTCTCACCATATTGGTACTCCTTTGTATCACCCCAGCAGCTGAGTCAAACCAGTGAGGGTTATCCTTGGTCCATCACCACAGTGGTTACGATCTGGTTAATGGAAAGGATCTCCTGAACTCCAGTCAGTGAAAGGGAGAGGGGGGAGGGAGAGAATTTCCATAGGGGAGATGTTTTCAAGTATCAATTATACATCAATTGGTCTTGCAGAACACTCCATCTCACAGTAGGTGCAGGCAGGGCCAGGGCAAATGGTAGGAGCACTTTCCATTATCTTCGCTTAATGTAGATTTTAGCTAAGTGTACTCTGGAAGACAACACTAACCACTTATCAAACATGGTGGGGAGATTAAAGAATGGTGACCTATGGAAGACAAAAATCATCAGATGTCCAATAGGCAAGAGGCAGAAGGAAGGGATGGAACAGAGAAGTACATTCAACCTCCTGGGCAAGCAAGGCATGAGGAAGGAAAGATCGGTTCACGGAGAGGAGTGTAAAAATGCAGTGGAAGAGTGTGAGAAGCATCTATAGGATAGTCATCCAAAGAACAGCAATCGCAGGTGAAGTGGAGACAAGTCAGGAAAACAAAAAGCAATACAAAAGGTAGGAAATAATTTATTCAGATGTGACAATTACGAGATAGCACAAAACCTCACTATAGTCCCATAGAGGGATGGTAGTTGGGCAAGGATGATGGAGAACAAAAGAAGCAGAACAAAGTGGAGAGAGTATGGGAAGAAACACCTTGTAGTACCAGAAAATTCAAAATGCATGGCAAGGCCTCCCAACCATCAATCAGAGATGAAAGTGTCCCTTTCCTAAAAATAATTGAAGCCAAATAAGGGGGGTCCGGCACCCAAAATCCTGCATTTTGATGCATTTTAGACTTAAAATTCACTTAAACAAGTTACCCCATTTTTCTTACATCAATGATTATCAAATACATGTGAGAAAC